TTTTATTTTTGTTTTAAACCAAGGAAAATTTTATAATTCATTTTTCTTTTTAATAACACATGAAATTCATAATCACTAACACCTGGGGCTTTAACATGACATTTACCAAAAAAAAAGTTCACTGCAAAAAAAATGACTAAGGGTAGAGGATTATCAAGGCTAAAAATTTAAAACAGTATACATAGGAAATTCAAGTTTGAGTTTACAAAAAAGAACCCAAAAAACTAGTCCCCTTAACAAATCAACTATATAGTGAACATTATCAATTCACAAATAAAATTGATTACATATGATAATGTTACCTTTCTTATCTTGTAATCATTTATCTATCATTTGACTATAGAACATAAGTCTTTGAAATGGAAAATCCAATGATTTGTATCCATTAAGCTGCTCAAGAGATGTGGTTTAATTTTATCCTAATTTATTTTCTTCATTGGCCTTTCACTAAGTATTTCAATCAACAAACTGTAGAGTGCCTCCTGGGAGCAGGCACTGAGCTGGACGATGGAGGTAGTCATCGTCCCTGGCCTTCCTGGAGCTTATGTTCCTGTGGAGGAAACAGATGGAAAACAAGAAAGAGGCAAATAAACTAATCACAAATTTTGTTTGGAGAATTAGGACAAATTAAGAGCCCAAATGGAGTTCATCGTTTTGGGTTTTTTTGCTCTCTTCATGAACTTCCTAAATGACATTTAGATGAGTGTAGCAATGCGTATGTGGAACATTTTTAATGCCACCAGGTTAGCCCTGTGAAAACATGGTGGAAACAATCTGAGTACCATACTGTACCACGTAAAGCAAAGCCTGAAAGCTAAATTCTCTCTCGGATTCTTCCCTGGCGTGCACTCAGGTGTAGGGCAAAGGAATGAAGAATCCAAAGACTGTAACTGAAAACTCCCTGGACTAATCAATGATTTTGAATAGGCACTCACAAAATAATTCATTTCATGCTAAGCGCATTTTATTACTAAAATGAACACTATATTATCAATAGCCTTTTCTATCCAAAATAACTCTTTGCCAAAAATGTTTCATCATTTGATCTCAAGCTCTTCTCCATATTCTCAATCTTATCTTCATTTACTCCTACTGAAAACAGTTGACATGAAAGCCAGCTAACGGGATGTGGCTCACAGCTCTGTGGATGCAATTATTGTGACGTGTGCTTTCCCTGCTTATCCAGTAGAAATTGTATGTTGCCGAGAATGATTGATTTATTACTGCCTTTGTACTTGATTTTGTCATTATTCATTATTATTTTTTGTCAAACAGACCCACACTCTTCTTCACATAATCACCCAGTCCTGTCTCTCAGTAAGCAAAGTAACTGATGGCTCCCTACAGCCCACTGTGGAAATATGTAATGATAGCCTTTTGCAAAAATGGCTACTAAGGAACTATACAAGAATGGAAATTTTTAGAAACATTTTTAAGAATTCTACTGATTACTTTCTCTAATAATTTTGGTGGTTTGTGTTGCAGACTTTAGCAGTTTTATTTTTGTGTTTTTGTTTTGTTCTGTTATTGAAATCTAGCAACTTCTTTAAAATGTGGTTAAAAAACTTTATGTGCTATTTCTCCATGGAGTTATTTTTATGTCTTTTACTTCTTAGCTGCTCATTAATTTGGAGGCTGTATATATTAAGAGGTGTTTGTTATTATACATTAATAGGTATGTTCCAGGTTTTTTTCTTTATTTCAAATATAATACATGCTTAAATATAATTGATGGAGTACATTATGACGTATTAGCTCTTTTGAGGCTAAGTATAACCATGTCTATATGGCAATAGATTTTGCACTAGAGCTGAAAAAATCAATAAAAAACCAACATAGCCAAAAAATTGATTGTTCTTGGAACACTGAAATTATTAAATTTTGTTAATTTTTATTCAGATACTTTGTGCAGACATAACATACCCTTCTAGAATTTATTATTTTAACCTAATACTTAAAGCAAATGCATTATTGAAGACTAAGATGTAATTTTCAATAACTTTATGTAGTAAATCATTTCTAAGCATTTCTTTGTGGTTGTTTAAGTTATATAATTATTATAATAATAAAAACTTTTAAAAATTGTACCTTCATCTCTGACTTGTATGATTTGTGACTATCTTCTTAGTAGGCAATGAAATGAATCATTATTCAGTTCAAGTCAAAAAACTGGTATGGAATTCTTGTAAAGAGTGCAAATAAGAACATGTCCTAGTTCTTGATCTTAAGGGTTTATTGTCCTGTAAATAAAGGCTATTACGTTGTCCAGTACCTCACTATGAGAACACAATGGGAAGTTAAGGAGTTACACTGGTTCAGATAAATCAGTTAAAGGTTAGTAGAAGACACAGTTGAGCTTGGAATGCTTGTGACAAGGCTGGGAATGGAAGTAGGGGAGGAGAGGAGGGAAGGGGTGTTGTTTGGATTAGACCCACAGTCAAAACAAGGGCAATCCAAACGTGCGTCTGGACCTTTTGTACAAAGAGAACTTGTATACAAGGCAATTTGCATATATTTTCTTTGTTTTCAAAGGAACTATACGTGGTAGGTACAGTGCCCACCAAGTTGCCTTCTCAGACTTAACTATTTAGTTTCACAAGTCTTCTTATAGACTCTAGCACAGAAGCCACAGCTTACTTCTCTCAGAATTTGCAGCAGCTCCCCCAGTGGTTCACACAAACTCATGGGAGCTAGTTTCTCCACAGGTGACAGCCCTGTGCAAGAGGACGAGAGCCACATAAGGCGGGTGGGGAAACGATCCTGGCTTAATAGCCTTATGCCTCAAAGGAGACAGTATCTCTGTGACAACTCTGTAGGCATAGCTCTCGTAACCCCGGGGAACATGCACAATTACAAGTCTTTGCACTTAAAGAAGCCCAGACTTTGGCTTCCTATTAGGTATTATAATACAGTTTATCAGATGCAGATGCAGTTAATCAGAGGTCATTTTTACTATAAGTAATGTTGCCCATAAACATAATTAACATTTTCACCCATATCAGGTTGGCAAGGGATCAGAGTTAGATAGTTGACGGAAAGTCAAATTTTTTAAGCAGTAGAAGAAACAGCATATTAAGTATTAGTATAACTAAGCATTTTCTGGGGAAAAAAAGAATCTAGGTCCTCAGAATGATTTGGTAGCTTGCCCAAATTTTCACAGCTAGTAACTTGGGGAACAGAAATTCACACTTAGGGCTATCAGACCCTAAAATGATCTTTGTACTCCACTACACTGAAGAGGAATTTTCTTTGGCTAGTTGTTCTTATCAGCAGTGACTTTTGACTATTAATGAATTCCTTCAAATAAAATATTTATGCATTTTTTAGAAAGAACAATACTTACTAGTTTTTTTTAATTATCACTATATATGTAGTTGACAACATATTCAATCTAGTCCTTAAAGTCATATACATTTAAAAAAAAAGGATCTAATAGAAGCAAACAAGGGTAAGTGACTTTTTGGGGGAAAAGGACATATATACACAAAGGATCTCAGGTATGTAACAAAAATGAAGACTGTTTTATTGATTTTAACTAGAATTTTCTAGAAAAAATGTCTTTGTTTTATTTTGTGTCTTTTTTCAAGTTGGCTATTGGTTCATAAGCCAAGAACATAATTTCTGGCATCATGAGTATAAATCAACTATCTTTTTGCCTATCTTTGGCCATTTCTTCTTTCATCCATTTTTTTGGTATAAATGGCTTGATTCCAAACATTGAAAAGAACAATAGCAAAGGCCTCAATCTTGAAATCTTCACATCTAATAGCCTTGCTCTTTTAATTTCCTGTTTGTTGTGTATTAAGCATCCTCTACCACAAGCCTGTTTTCCATTCTTTTCTCAGTACAGTGCAGTCCAGGGTGTTTGTAGTCCTAATCCAAAAAATTTACAATTGTCTAGGCAGTGTTTCTCCACCATTTTTTTGCATGCCTCCTACATTTTTTAATCTTCCACCTTTCAATATAATATCAAGCTCTCCCCCAAAAAGTATTTGTCTACCATTAATTTTGGTAATTTGCAACAAAAGTATATGCCATGCTTTTTTCAAGATATATCTCTAAATCACCTCCCATATTCAAATACTTCTCTTCTGGTTGGGGAGTTTTTCATATAGTATGATTCTAAGCATTGCTCATGAAATTGAGCAGAACTGTGTATAATAATGTATATAATTAGTGCATAAATTAGTATGTAAAAGAATGTGGACTTAAAATGTATATCTGAAAAGTCCAAAAATATGATTTCAAAATGTAAATGTGAACTCAAGAGAGAAGACATGTAATGACTGGTTAACCTGATGCAATTATTGGAATTAAATTTCAGCATTTGGGTACTGAGAAATACTAACTCATGAATATTGTTATTATGAAAAATATATATAGGTTTAGTATTTTAAAGTGTATGTCCATCACATCTCTGTTTTTATTTGATGTTGGTATTTTTTAAGATCCTTAAAAATGCAAACCAAATATAAGCACGCTATCAAGACACATCTTTGTTGCTATGATAATCACTCTTCTACAATGAATGTCTCAAAGTTACAGATACTATGGCCTGTTTAGTATTTTGGAACGGGAATATCTCTAGCAGTTTTGTTCATTTGGGTCACAGCTGTTCGCATGTTTATGAAGAAGTTACTGAATAACACATGTCTAAGAAAGCTAAGATGCTGTGAAAGCTTGTTAATATTAGTACTCCTCAACAGAACTCTACGCTCGTAAGTGGGCTTTTTGCAAGAGAGACTGAATTCTTGGCAATGCATGATAAATGTCAGCCAATTTCTTTAATCATTTGCAAATAAAGGTGTATTAGACAATAATGAAACCACAACAGTGAAAGATGTATAATTAATTCAGAGCCACCTGTGCACACAGTTCCTTTTACAAACATATCACAATGTTTATACTAAAAAAACAATTTTTTAAGAGCAGATGTAATCTGTGTGCTAGTGGCATTTAAGATAAAATATGTTGCACTGATTATTGGTTATCTTTTACAGAGACTCACCTTGAGACATGTTAACAGTAATCAGTGTCTCGATGAACCTTCTGAAGAAGACAAAATGGTGCCTACCATGCAGGACTGTAGTGGAAGCAGGTCTCAACAATGGTTGCTAAGGAACATGACTCTGGGGGCATGAAGACTGTTTCCCCCAAGCCATGAAAGTGTCTAAACTTATGTTTTTCCATTATTTCAATTAGGGAAAAAATATATTAACTTTGCTGAATTGAAAAGTTTTAAAATCCTTTTAGTATTCTAAAACACAGTTGTTTATAATTCATTTTTAGGAATGTTTGCTTATTTCCCTACTAAAATTTGTATCTGATTAAAAAGCACATAAAAAGAATAAGTAACAGCAAACTGTTATTAAACATCAGAACAACTTGAAAAACAAAGTGTGTTTACTTCTTAAAAACTCTTTATTGCCCTCATGTCACAGGATTAGTTTGGGGGCAAGGGTTATTTTTATTTTTCCTTGTCATAATGATTGAAAGAGAGACAATGTAACTGCCTTATAAAATAACTTCATTATATAATATTATCATTGTTTTATAAACTCTGTTACTACTGGACCTACATGGAAACATGTTGAATTTCTGTGTCAACAGCAAGACCACACATTGAATTATTTCTGAACAATGAATTCATTGTACAAAATCAGTTCTAAATTTTGTACCAGGAAAAAAATTAAGTTGTATATTGACATCTCATAGAGTTCTTATAAAAACATCATATTTAAAGAAAAAAGGAGGAGAATTTGAAAATTCAATTTAAAGTACATGAAGTCAAAAGAAACTAACTAGACATTGAAGGAAGCATGATGAAGCTAAAAATCGAAAACTGGAACATTTTAAAAGATTCTGTTTGGGCTGCAATCACTTCTAACACAGACTGGGTGTAATAGCTCCATCCCAGAGTTGATGTGGGAAACTCATCATAAATTATGGCTCAAGGAACACAATCACAATTAATCTACCTTCACAAGTTATTTTTCCATCTTAAAACACTTTGTTTTCAAAACACATGAGCAGAAGACATGAAAAGGAAGAAAAAAAATCTATTTGTGAAATTTGTGCTAATAAGTTTTAGTATTTAACATCATTTAAAATGCCTGTAACGTTGCTCTACATATGTATTTAATTCATTACAAATGCACTCAACAGCTAAGAGAAATTTGGGGTGGGGGTGAGGGGTGGATGGAAGAAGTAACTTCTAGAGTAGATGCCACAACTTTGGCACTCATCTTTTATTAAAAAGCTCTAATAGAAAATTTGTTTCAGTTTGATCGGATTGGCTACAGACAAACTCTCTCGCTCTCGCTCTCACTCTCGCTCTCATAGACACACGCACACGCACACACACACGAGCACTACTTTGTAATGACAAAGAGGGCGCTTTCAAAAGATAGTGAAATCTTGTATGATCTTCCCAGCTAGTACTCCTTCCTTTCTGGCTTTAAACTAGTATAACTCAGAAAGAATTATACAACCTGGAGCATTTCAGGTTTACTCCTTAAAGTGTAGACATCCCTCATCTGGGAGTCGCTGGGAATCTGAATTTTTTACCATCTTTGAAATCCTCTGTGTTCAAAATAACATGGGCCGAAGACATGAGTCAAAGGGAAGATAAATCTGTCTGTGAAATTTGTGCTAATAAGTTTTACATTTATTTAAAATTGAGATTATAAGCAAAGTTTGAATGTCAGGACTTTTTTTTTTTTCCTGAGGAGAGGATCCAGGAAGTCGTGACTCCCAAGAGCTAGTGAATCACTGCCTTCAGTTAGTTGATAGTGGCCTCACAAGTCAACTGAGGTCTGGCTTAACAATCACATTTTCCATGTTCACTCTCTTTTCTTCCCTCTTTTTCTCTTGTCCTGACTAAATATAATAAAATGTCCCTGCATGGTATTCTTCCTTGAACTTAAAAAGTTTAAACACTCAAGGACTCTTTCATACAATCTGCTTCACTTATAGATTTGCCAATCAAAATGCGTATGTTATCTAGAAAATAGTAAGTTTTTAAAAAATACAGCTACCCCATTGAAACTGAATTTGACACATTTCAGCAGCATTTTAAATATCTGAAAGTTCATTATGGTCGTAGCAGAAATACAGGAAATATGAAAGCTGCCTGAGTTTGAATGCCAATGAAAAATTTTCCAAGAATCTTCAGTTAGTTTCAGCTATTAGAATGTCTAACAAACGAAGACATAAAATATTACAAAACACCAAAAACCAATGACTAGTTCAATTTTCTTTTCAAAAATATTTATTGTATTAACACAGAAAATTGAAATCATGAGTGAATTCACAATGCATTCATCTTATACATTCCTTATCTATGGAGCTAGACTAATAGATATTTCAAATGACTTGAAACTTCCCCATCTGAGGTCTTTCCCATTGAAGTTAATGCCAACTCCAGCCTTCCAGATGCTCAGATCAAAAACCTAAAGTCAATTTTGACTCTTTTCTTTCTCTCTCAACTTTAATCCATCAGCAGATTCCCTTGATTCTATATTGGAAATATAACCAGACACCAAACACTTACCACCACATCCACTGTGTCACTATCTCTAACCTTTTTAATTGCAGTATGTGTATAATTTGGTTCTCTATAATTTCCCAACCTTTGCCCCAATTCATCTTTTTTCAGTATGACAGCCGCGGTCATTCTGAAACATAAATTTGATTGTTTCACTTCTCTGCTCACAATCCTCCAATGACTTCTCATATTTCTCCAACCATACTTCTTACAATGGTCCTCAAAATCTTTTATGAATGACATCCTTCTACTGGAAGGTGTGCATGTGTGCATACACACACAAGTACACACATTTCTGACTGTCCCTTACTTACTCTACTTTGGCTGCCAAGCAAATTTGTGTCTTAATGTTTTGCTCCCTTGCCCAACAGAGCTATCCTTCCTTTTCTTTAGGTCTCTGTTCAAATATCATCTCCTCAGTAAGGCAAGCCCTACTCCCTCCTGTCCTCCCTACCCCGTGTATATTCTCTGACGAACTGCAAATTTGCTTCTTTATTTTCTGTCAACAGTTCTCCCTCTTTACCCCTCTAACATCCCCATCACACACCCTAGAATGTAAGCTTCCTAAAAACCTGAGCTTTGTTAATTTTGTTCACTGTGGTATCCCCAATAGAGTTCTTGGTGCATAGTTAATATTCTTTAAACATTTCTTGAATTAATGAACTAAAAAATGTGTGTTAAAGTTGTTAAGTGCTACTGTGTTGTATCTTTTTATTGCACATTATTTTAAATTTTAAAGTCTAGTAATATATTTAGACAGGATTTGCATAACTGTCTTCAAATACAATTTTCTTCCTAATATTATTTGCATTCATGTATGGATTATACTTTGTTCTCTATGATAAAATATCCAGCTTTATGTAAATGAAACATGACATTTTATAAACATGCTGCTGTATTATGTAAGTTGTTCCATTAAGATAAAAAAATTTTATTTTTATTTCTTGGTTGTGTTCAATGGCCATTTGAAGGCCTAGATTTTGATTTCTAGAGGGAAGACATATTATTCTCTTAAAAATCACACGTATTTTCATGGTTTCACAGGAGCTAGCACTGAATTTATTTTCTAAATACAAGTCTATGAACAAAACATAACTGTAGAAACTTTGAAAGGACTTTACAGATGATCTTTTCTTAATTTACCTGTTTATAGGTAATATGCCCGAGGCCCAGATGTGTAATGTGGCTTGCCCGAAGATCATATAGCTGTCAGCAGTGCTGCCAGACTCATCATTGTTAATATAACCTGATACTGTCTTCAATTAAAAAGAACTCCAAAATACAAGAGGGCACAATAATGAGGAAAAAAATCTTGGTTAAACATTTTGTGATAAGTATATTGATTCTTTAGAGACATATAACTTCTCACGACCTTTTATACTTAAATAAGATTAGTTCTATAAAATACCACCACAGACAATAAAGATGTGCAGCAAAAATAAAGATATTAACAGGAAACAGCACGAGTACAGACCATTCTAGGATACTGGGTAATAGCCTCTTCTGCAGTAACTAGCGAAGCATCCTCTCCCCTCACTTCCATTTTCCTTACACTTAAGTTTAAGGTGAAAGTAAGACTGGCCTACAGCTTACACAGAGAACTAGACTATCTCCTGCTGTGACCACTGAGTCAGTGCCAGGTTATACAGCTCTAAAGACTGCAGGGTAATCAGCAGAGATCTCTAGGCTTCCCAGTAGAGCTCTGCAGACTGCAGCAAACACAACCCACAATTTCGATTTTGCCCTGATGCTTAGAAACAGCTTAGTAATAAAAAGGAAACAAAAAGAAAAGAGAGAAAAAAAAAACAGCAATAAAACAACAGGAAAAAGTTTACTGTTTTTATTTTTTGGTGGGAGGTTAAGCGCATAGCACAAATTGGTTCTGTAAAACTTAAAAATTTGGCTACCCCCCCACAATGTCTTCACCACTTGTGAAGTGATGATCTTTTCTGATCACAACTTTATTTCCATCATATTTATAGATGCTAAATTTAGTCTCAGAGGAGGCAATCTTGTATGCATTCTTAAGTTATAAAGTATGATAATTGAATAAATAGGAAGAATTTAGGAAATTCAAGATCTTAATGGATGTGTCATTGTCCACAATCTTTACACATTGCTGATATCTACAGATTTTGAATAAATGTCCAGTTCAGTTGGGTAGCAAAAATTCAGTTAGGACTTCAGACAGTCTGTGTTCCAGGAATCAGCCATTACCCACCATTTTCCCCATTTTTCCTCACTATCTCAAAATATGGAACGATAAAATCAGCCACTCTTCAGCTGGCACACAAACACATCTGGTGTGACTACACCGTGTTCAAACTGCTATTAAGTATAAGCTATTATATGAATTTAAGGTACTGAATGAACACCACCAATGTGTTTTAAATAGTTTATATAAATTTGTGTCCAACTTTCATTTTATATTCAATAAATTCTAAAGGCAATTTTAATTGTATGTATATATTTAAAAGAATCCTACTGAAATACTAATGATGCAGGGCAGTTTTTCTGTTAATGCCACTTCTATAATATTTGTATCATCATTATATAATTATCATTTTTGTTTTTGTTTTTAGCTAGGGAGAACAAATCACTTAATATTCTGTTTTTAATAAGTAAGGATGAAGATGGGAAATTAGATGATTAAAGCCATTTCTATAATGGTTAAAAATGAGATTTTCATCATGCTTTTAATTTGGGGTAAAAATGAACGTAAACTGTTCCTTAGTTTCAGTTGTACTTTCAGTTAAAAATAGCACAAGTAGGAAAAAAAGGACTCGATTTTGTGATGGGGGCAGAACTTTTGTTTTTTTGGTCAGTGTAGCCACAGCTAAGGAAAAATAATTTCAAAACTGTTTTAGACACACGCTTGGCACATAGTTCTTTAAGATTTATAAAAGTAGATTGTGCATAAAAAACTACACATTTTAAATATTGTAAGCATTACTAAATGGTAAAATTGTTCTTTTGCTATAAATCTCAATATTTATACATGTATATAGAATTTAAATGTATCAATTTAGTTTTCCTTTGCTATACATTGTCTTTTTACAAAATTTTTGTTAGCATTTCAAATAGACAAATAATTTCAGAGTTTTATGCTTATGTTCCATTTCATAAATTATTTAAATAAATAATTAAGTGCCTAAGGACCTCTTGGCAGTAAGAAAATAATGTGGTCCCAGTGCAATTTTGGCACCAAAAATACATAAAATAGAAACAGTGAAATGTGTATGATTTTTAAAATTTTATCAATTTTACTTATTTGAAATTAATTGATTTTTTTGTCTTTGTTTCATAAAAATGACTTGAAATAGAAAAGTTAAAATGCTTCCTATTATATGATTAAAATTACTTTTCAGAATACTATGCATCATCCCCAATTCCTTAATTCTTGTGCTGAAATCCTGAAAGACTGTCAGAGCTAGGAGGGGTGATGCAGAAGGATATACACATCCTAGTGAAGTGAATCCCCAGGTGATTCCTAGCCACATACAGAATCAAGGGTGAAAATAATATAAGATCATTTCATTTGCTAAGTTAAAAGAATGAAGGAAAGAAGAGAAGAAAGGGGGGAAAGAAAGGATTCTAATATTATCTATTTTCATAATTTTATTCTGAAGAAAACTAACCTAAAATATTGTATATCATGTTTGCATGATTCAGAAACTCATTGACTGGCAAACATGAATACCTCATTGGTTTTCCGAAACTTTTTCTATAACTGTCAGTATGAGTAAAGGATATTGTCTAGATTATTCGTCTTACATGTAAACGATCCCTTCTTGGCTTTCTGTAAGCTGGTGGGACTCCATATTACACCTACCTTCTTTCTGCTACATTATTTTCTGTTACTCTTGCCCAAGAGCACAGCCTTGTCTTTCAAGTGTTAACCAGGTTAACCTCAGGTTTTGATAGTTCTATAACTTACTATGTTTGGCTTTTCTTCAGCACCTGGATGAAACAAAATGTGAACCCTCACACTCCACAACTGCACTCTCCTGCCTCCTCTTCCGTCCCTGCTCCTCAGGCACCACTCAGTGGCCTCTCTGCTAATTCACTCTTTCTGACATAATGACTATTTTTTCCACACGAGAGGATATTAATTACCAATCTGCTTCAGCTATCATAAAAAGTTGGCAGTTGGCAGATAGAGTTGACTGAATTTCTGCTGACAAATGTCTCCACCAAGTTTGTGCAGTGAAAACCTAGATAAACACACACACATCTGTTTCACAGTTTTCTCTTTTGCTGGCACGTGAACTTAGTGTGGCCAGCACCCTTCACCTACCACGCAGTAACTCATACACGCAGAACCCCGGAGATCAACCCTGTCTAGATGATTGAGGTCAGAGCTGCAAACAGCCTTCACAAAGATTAATGGTGTCGATGCTTTCAGCTCCTGGGCTCCCAGCTTGATTTCTCTGTGTGCACTTGCAACTTTCTGACCTTCAGAGGATGATATGGAGTTAAGCTGCATATATAAAAGCCCTTCAAAGTTCTTCCTTCAATTATACGGATCCAACTGAGTGGTGAATCCATTTTTCTCACACACTTAGCTTTTGAAAACTGATTTCCATTAGCAGAATTAGAAACATTTGACTCAGCAGATCACCACATCTTCCTTTGGATATACTTTCTTCATTTTTTGGTCTTCCTCCTGCCTCACTGGTCAATTGTGTTCAGTTTCCTTTCTAGGCTCTCCTCCTTTCTCCCACCTCTTAGTATCGGAGAGCTCCAGGGTGCAGTCTTGGTTATCATCTCTATTTACATTCTTTCCCTGGGTGATCTCACCTAGAACCATGGATGTCAATACATCCTGCATGCTGCTAACTACCAAGTGTCTCTCCCCAAGTCAGAATCCTTTGAAGTACACCTGCCTATTCGGCATCTCTTTCTCAAACTTACTACATCCAAGACTTTACCATACAATCCATTCAGTCCAAAGAGATTTTCTATTCAGTGGATAGCAACTCCATTCTGCCAGTTGTTCAGTCTAGAAATCTTGGTGTCTTTGAATTCTCTTTCTCCATTAGAAAATCATCCTTCATGTGTAACTGAAAAATTGCACTCTACACTTGAATTTGACACAACATTGTAAAATGACTATAACTCAATAAACAAAATGTTAAAAAAAAAGAAAATCATCTTGATTCCACCTTCACAATATTTTCAACCACTTTTTAACACCTCCACAGCTACTACCCTGATCCACATCACCATCTGAATTACCACAGTAGTCTTCTGATTGGTTGCACCCTTGCCTCCTCCTCCTCCATGTCTATTCTCAACAGAGAACCAGAATGATGCTATCAAATGTAACCCAGTTATGTCTCTCCTCTACTTAAAATCCTCCAGGGGCTTCCTGTTTTGTATAGAGTAAAAGCCTACAAGGGACCTGCATGATCTGCCCCCTTCTAACTCTTACCTCCTTTCCTATCATGTTTCCCTTTATTCACTTCATCCCAGTCATTCTCCTTGCCACTTATTTTAACAAATTAGGTGTGCTCTCGGTTTAGGGCCTCTGCCTGGAATACTTGTTCCTAGATATGCTAACTCCCTCACCTTGATCACAACTTACATTCTCAATGGGATCCCCATGTACCATTTTTAATACTGTAGCCCACCTTTCATATCTCATCAAGATACACCGATCCATGACACCACTCTACCTTTTTTGTTCCATAGCCCTTATCACCCATTAACATACTGTCAAATTTACTTCTTTATTGTTTTTAATGCTTAATTACTAATTGCCTCCTTCTCTCCACCCTCCACTCCCACCAGGCACACACAACTTAAATATAAAATCCAGGAATCTCAATTACACTCTGATATCCAAAATAATGCATGACACATACTGGGCACTCAATAAATATTTTTTGAGTGTCAAATGAATTC